TTTCTTCGATAGAATTTATCTATATTTATCTTGTTCTTCATTGATATTTTTACAAAGAATATATCTTTTTGGATAATAAGCATTTTTTGGATAATAAGCATGAAAACTTACTCATATTGAAATAATTATATTTTAAGATTTTATAAGAAAGCTTAGTTCTTTTAATAACGAACAACAGAGGAGAATCGTCCTGATGATGATTATGGTCCGACACCGCAACTTGCGTCCTTATCTGCGCCTCTTACGTTAATGCAACTAATCACTTGACTCTGAATCATACTAATTAGAACTCATATATATATATATATATATATATATATATATATATGAGTAGGATCAATTGAGAACACCTAAAAGGTTGAGAACGCGAGAACACTTATCAGCCAATCATTTTATTAGGGTATTTAAGTAAATTTGTATTTAATATAATTTTTAATTAATATAATACAATTAATAATCAATATATTATCCATTATTATTTACCTATAATTAAGGGATATTCCATAGTTATCGTTGAATTGAAGATACGGTTTCCAATATACGATTCGTGATTTAGTCAATCGACAATTGTATCTATAACATCGATTATGATTGAAGATAACAACGTAGGAATTTGTTAACCCAAATTTTCGATGTCGGACTGTTTTGATTACAGTAGCGATGTTACCGAACATGATGATCATTATGGCGACGAAGCATTCGACAATAATCAATATCATGAAGACGATTTCTATCATTCGGATAATCAATACAGCGGAAGAATTCAATTATCTGATAATGCTAGTGAAGGTAACAATATCAACATCTTTTAAATATAGTTCGTGTATTACAATCAGCATTGAATTTATCTATATGATGAATAAGACGTGTCATTTATTCAGTACATATTTGTATACGATTAATCATATACGTTTTATGTATTAATTAGTTAATGCTGGTGTATATCACAAATTGTTGTACATTGTTTCGTAAGTTTAATACAATGTTTCTTAAGTTTGATAAGCATTGGTGATTATGCGTAACAATCATATATGATAATGATTTAAATCTTTTGACATAGTTCTGTGTATTTTAAAATGAGTAAACACTTCAATTTTGATTACTGTTTCACACATGTTGATTATGATTAGAAAATTGTTTAGTTTATGAATACGTAATTGATCTAAATTTATATTATGTCTCTCATGTCGCATTATTGTTTCTTGTTGTCTAAAAAAACAGGTACAAATCGAACTGATTCTGAAGAGGAATCATTCAATAGTAATGTTGTTGACTCGCCTGGTGGGAAAAACAAGTTGTGGAAACCTATTGTTCCTAAAGAATTTATGCCAGATGTAGATGCTACTTATCAATCATTAGAGGAGGCGGTTGAAATGTATAAATTATATGCAGATAAAGTAGGTTTTGGTGTCAGGTTAAATACAGTAACGAGGTTTGGTGACAAAACCATTAAAAAAATGTATGTAGTGTGCAAAAAAATGGGTAAAATACCTAACAGATCAACTGACACTTTGGATCCTGACGGAACTGGAAGGAATAAACGAAACTCAAACTTCAGAATCACGGACTGCAAGGCATTGATAAAGTTTGAAAGGTTACATATACGAACTAATTCTTGTAAAATATATGAGTTTGAAGAGAAGCACAACCACCCCCTAGAAACTAAAGAAGAAAGACGGTATTCCAAACGTGCACGACGACTTAGTTATAAAGACAAGGAGTTTATAGTGCGTTCTTCAACATCTAACATTGGTGCAACAAAGGCACATAAGTTACAAGCTAGTTTGTAAGGAGGTTATGAAAACGTTGGCCCTGAAGCAATTGATTATAAAAATTTTAGAAGGAAGATGGGAAACATTATAGGTGACAAGGATGCACAGCTGGTTGTTGACAAAATGAACATGAGGAAAGATGAGTTACCTAACTACACATTTGAGTATAAATGTGTTGATAGTGTGTTAAACGCAATGTTTTGGGCGGATGAAACTGATAAGTTATATTACAAGGAGTTTGGAGATGTGATCTCATTTGATGCTACATTCCAAACAAATAAGTATGCTCTTATAGTTTTCTATTTTTTTCTTTAAATATGAATATTGCTGTTTTTTAAGTTTATAATAACTATTGAATTTGTTTTTAATTAACTTTTTAATACAGGTATGGAATGATTTTTGTGCCGTTTACAGCCATTGATAACCATAAACGTTCAATAAACATTGGAGCAGGTTTGTTAAGCAACGAGTCAATAGAATCTTATCGTTGGTTGCTTGAAGCTTTTTTGAAAGCACATGGAAAACACCCTCAATTAGTGTTAACAGACCAAGATCCAGCAATTCTACAGGCAGTTGAAGCAATATTTCCTAATTCTAATCACCGCTTATGTATGTGGCACATTATGAAAAAATTACAAGCTAAGGTGTGTATATTTTATTCATAGTTAACACAGAACATGTTTTATTCAGCAATGATTTAAACAGTTTACGTATTTTTAAAAATGATTAGCATAGATATTGTTTATTCATAGATAATCTTATAAAATTCTAATGTTTTTTTTAGGTTTCAGCGGATTTTCTGAAAAACACTGATTTTCGAAAGCGTTTTACTAAGCTTGTTTGGAATGTCTACATGGAGCCTAAAGTCTTTGAATCAAGGTGGAAACTGCTTATGAGAAAATTCAAACTACAAGACAAAATATGGTTCAAAGACATGTACAAGGATCGAAAACTTTGGATTCCAGCCTATTTTAAAGACATGCCACTACATGGTCTGATGAAAACTACTTCAAGGTCTGAAAGTGTGAACTCATTTTTTAGTAAATACTCTAACTCTGGTAATTTGCTTATCTATTTCATGATGAACTACGACACCGCAATTGGAAAGCAACGAAATGGTCAACAGAAACTAGAACATGATACAAAAAATTCAAAGCATGAAATGACGCTTCCAAGTGGATTACTAGAACATGTAGCTGCGGTTTACACTAAAACCGTTTTCTATGAGGTCAAAAAGGAAATATTTAAAGCAGCCTGGTACTGTTCTATTGACAGCGTTGAAATGATTAATGGGTGGAAAGTTGTTATGATTACACAAACGGATAAGAGCAAACAGTTGAAGATAAAATGCAAGGTTATATTCATTGTTGAAACGCTATTCATTAGTGATCATACAAGTATATTATATCATTATTTTTAAATTACATATACTTGTTTCAATATTATGCAATAACCACCAACTAATATGTTAATTCAACCAGTTACTAACATATATTATTTTTATTATACAATGTAGGTTGAATTAAAGTTGCCTGAAAAAGAAGTTAAATGTTCATGCAATCACTTTATACGTACTGGCATTTTGTGTCGTCATATTTTTGCTGTATTGAAAAACAACCATGTTGAAGAGATTCCAGAGCAGTATATTCTCAGAAGATGGAGAAGGGATGCAATTTCCAGCCATTTGCTTGCCATGAAACATGTTGCCATGGAAACCGAAGATGACACCTTTAAATTTCTAACAGAGGCATACAGCAATATTGAATACTGCTTGGGTCATTTCAAAAGAAGCAAGGAGAAATTGTTGGAATTTGTTGAAAAAACACGTATCTTGAAGCAGACAGCAATGGAGTTTGGCAGTTCAAACCAATCATCATCTGATAATGATGAAGAAGAAATTATTCGGATGCTTGGAATACGCATTATTCCTGATGAAATAAATATCCATCCACCTTCATCTATACGTACCAAAGGGAGTGGAACTAAGAAAAGAATGGTTAGTGCTACTGAGAAAGTTGTTGCAGCTGCAAAGGAAAAAACTAGAATTTGCACAGGTTGCAATCAATATGTTAACCATAAATGGAGCACTTGCAAAGTCAGACTTGCACGAGAGTCAAAACAACCTTAAAATGGCTCATTCATTTGCCCAATAGATTTTATTTTTCTATTAGATTTATGAATAAGAATATGTTTCTATGATTCAGTATGTTATTTTATCTTAAAACACCTTCATGATTTTTAACATTTTGTTTTATTCAACAATGAATAATATCATAAACATATCTGGTAATTATAACAGATTAATGATATGAACAGGCATTTACACCTCTGTTATTTGATTAAAACAGTTTGCATTTAGAATAGATATATTTTTCCTTTGTTGAAATTATAAAAACATCAATCATTATAGACTATAGACATATACAATTCAAGCAGTATTCATAGTTTATTGTATGATGTTAGTAGTATATCATACTAACAAATGTTTGTACGATTCATGAATAAGGAGATGTTTCTATGTTTCATTATGTTGTTTTATTTTAAAACACCTATACATCATATATTGATTTATTTTACATGTTTTTTATATAATATTTCATGTCTGCTTTTGGGTATATTTTAGTCATAAGTTTAACAACATTAAACTTTAAACCCTTTGTTATAGTAAATAATGAATAATACCATAAATACATTAATTACTTTCAACATATTAATGCTATGAAAATTGTGAAATACCCTGTTATTATGTTAAAACAATTTGCATTTAAAGTAGAATATGTTATGACTAATTCATGTATTTATGCTATTATTCAATATTAAATAACAACATACTTTAAGATATAAAAACAACAACAATCATTATAGACTATAGATATAGTCATTTAAATTATTAAACTTCTGATTGTATGATCATAGTAGTATAGCATATTAACAAATGTTTGTTAGTAAGAATCATTACTGACTGTACATTATAATTATACCAGTCATGTTAATCATCATTGTTTGACATAATTTATTTCTTATTTAATTTTTCAAAAGCTAATGTAAAATTATAACTATTAATATTAAGTTTAAAATATTACCATTCCATTACTAAATTAGCAAACCAAAAGGAACTATTGTATGTTCTACAACCCAAGTTAATATCCTTAACATACAAAACCATTTTTTTAAAACTATCCAAAAGAAACCATCAAAGTCATAACTAAAATAACTTTTTTAACATAATTAACTAACAACACCCAATCTTGTGTGAATTTGTTCCTTTGCAATGGCCAACAGTTCAGAACGTTGTCTTGAAGGAATCTTGTGGAATTCATCAACCTTTTGGAGCACATAATCCTTTTGCACATTATATTCATGAGTGATGATTTTGTATAAATACTTTGTCCTCAGTTTAACAAGTTGATCATCTTGTGCAGAAGACTCGTTCTTGAACCCAGCTTTAAACTCATTCATACTTCCACCCATATACGTTTCCACGTGACGCATTGTAAACACACCACAATCAATGTGGTTGTTTATTGTTCTCCAAGGCATTTCCAGTCTATATGGCATCACATGTGAAAACATCTCAGCTTTTGGATGATTCTGAGATTTTAAGTAATCAACTATGTACTTTTTCTGAAAATGTAAAAAAGATTGTCAACACATATGAAATGTTATTTACTAGGTAATGTAACTTTTATTAATCACTTACAATGATTTGGGGCAACTGACCATATCTCTCATCAATATGATCATCTACTTTGCTGTTGTCAATGATTACAAACTCTGGGTGTTGTAGATTGATCACAAAAAGGAAAATGTGGAAGGAACGGACGACTGGTAGGAAAAGCTGTAACGTATATGTATTCACTTTATTTAATATTAATATTTGATCAATGATAAATAAACACATAAGTAAAATGTTCAGATATGTATCTTACCAATCCAACGTAACGTAGGCTTGCGTCCATATCTTTAATAGAAAGCAACAAATTCTCAATGAATTTATCTTTACGTTGACTTTATGTTAAATCACTTTCAAGATACGAATTCTGTAATCCATTTTTAAAAACTCATTAGTTTATTTATAAGTTGTATTTAAAAAATAGTTTAATAAACATTGAACAATATTAAATTATACCGTCACATCTGTCTTGCAATAAACTCTCAGAGGCGATTCAGGTGCACGCTTACTTTCATCAAGATTCAACACTTGACTCCAACAATCAATCACATGACCAAATAGTTCACATGTTGGAAAAAAACTTTCCATGTGAAACCTCTCAGCAGAAAAACCATCCAAAGTGTGGAAAACTATATCACTGCAAAAGACGTGACCAATTGATATTTATTTTAATAAGCAACCAACAAAATTAAGTAATTTTAAACATATTTTCAATGCAACTTACTTTGGCTCTCCCTGGAGAGAGAATATCCATTCTGCTGCACGTTTTTCTTGTCGTGGAACTCCTTTTGTGATATCAACAGTCCGTATAATGTAAGGAGATTTCAGATATTCGGATTTCATGTGAGGCCTGTACCCTCTTTTATTAAACCCCTTTTCTTCATTGTTGAATGGTACTACAGACAAAGGAATTGGCATTTCCATTTTAGATGGTGGTGTAGTCTAAAAAGATTTTCTTCCAGATCTATTCACGAAGTCTGCATATTCCTTTGACATCTGAATACTACAGTTTGCTATCGGGGAGTAGTCAAACTGTTTGTGAGATGTTGCTAGATTCAGTGTACGTTCAATTTCAGCCTTGTTATCATACCACCATTGAGATTGTTCTGGTTCCTCTGATGCGGAAACTTCATTAAACAGATCATTTACTTTGTTTTTCCATTCTTTGACCAATTGATTCTTAGGATATTTCTTGACAGCATCATTTATTTTGTCTTCCAACACTTTCTTTTGCTGCACTAGCATGTCGTGCATCTCCTTTATTGTTGAAATAGTTGTCTAATAAGGTCAACACAATTTAATTACGGTACAAACCAAATAAAAACATTAAATGGTTCTTGCAATTCACCCATACCCAGACCTATTGTCCTACACTCTACTCTTTCTCGCTCACGCAGTTTATCAACATTCCAAAAACATATTGCTGGTCTGCCTCGTATAATCTTCACTGAATCGCATCGAACACTTTCTACATATAGCAACTACAACAAAGAAAAATAAATATTGTATTAATTAAATACACTTTAATGAATTTGCACACATAAGTAAACCAATATTGAATGACAACTGAATTTATAACAACTCTTACCAGCAGTAAGATAATTGGCCCAACATAGAATCCTTTTTTGCTGTTTGGATTCCATGCACTTTTTGTCTCCTTAAGGCAATCAAAAACATATCCACACCAATCGATGTCACTTAGATCCAGGTCTTTCGTGACTTTTGATAACATGGAAAGGTCACATGTTCCCATGCTCATTGACTGACCTAGTGTATTACACAGCAGGACAAAGATGTTTACTTTAAAGAGTAAATCTGCACGTGTTGTTTGCATAATAACTTGTTGAACTGCCCTTGGTCTAATATTATCTTCATCATCGAATTGTTTCTTCCAAACAGTTATCGTGTCGTCTGTAACTTCTCTATAAGCCATGGACTTTATTGTAACATTTTCCAGAGGTAGACCCAACATTTCGTGAATAACCTGCCGATTAATTGGTATATCACCATGATGAAGGTTGAGTACCATCCTATCTGCATCAAAATTCCTTACAGTATAATGCCCCATAATTGATGCACACCCATCCACTTTCATATTCAACAAATGCCCCAGACCAATAGAAGAAATATACGCTTCCTGTTCCTTGCTAAGGTTATGCATACAACTGTACAAAACATTTGGAGATGTTCGTACTTGTATTCGCCTTGCTTCTTCTTCATCATTTCCTACAACTTTAGGCATTTTCCTTGCTTTCACTACATTTCCTTCTTTATTCTTTTGTCTTTTTAATTTATTCACATTTTCTTTGTCATCATCTTTGAAGGAAGTATAATGCATTCTCTTTTTCCTTATAAGCACAGGTTTAGCATCTTCAAAATCAGAGTCTTCATCTTCATTAAGCTTCTTGACAGTTACCTTATGTTTTCCTGTTAAGACATATTTAACACAATAAATGATTATAACTAAATTACAAAAATAAAATTATACTAAATTTAATTAAAAATAAATCATTACCTGAACATGAGTTTAAAACAACAACTTCATCACCTTTTATTTTACAACTATCAAACCGTCTTTTTGTTCTCAATTCATTTTCCTTATGTATTTCATTATCTTCTGCCATGTCAACACTTTCAATCAAACCTGTCAATATGTAGACAACATAATCATAACTGAACACATTTTGATATACAACTTACATTACATGAAATCATCATTGATACATTTTTGTTTCCGTATCTTTGTTTTAGATTTTGAAACCCTTGCTTTTCCTGTAGCAAACTTCTTCACATTGACTTTGGTTTTCATATTCTTTTCTATTAATAAATATAAAACAATACAAGTTATTAAAACTAACTACAAAAACAAACTTTAAATAAATTTAGTTTTAAACAAATTCATTACTTGAATCTGAGCTCAAAACTACAACTTTAAGATCCCTTTGCATTGAATTGTCTGGTGTGCGATTCACACGTTCCTCCACACCTGTCCAAAAATTAAGACACATAATCAATATAGATTCCAATTGATATTTAACATTGTTAATTTTCATTTAATCATCATCACCACCAGTTTGTTTTTTAGTTTTCTTCTTAGGTGTTGAACATTTCTTTTGTCCTTCTCTTCTAATCCGAGGTTTTCCTGTTTCGTTTGCTTGATTGTCTTCATCTTCAATATCAATAAGCAATGGATTGGATTCTTCATTAGTGAATTTGCTGAATGCCGTCTTTAGTAATATCCTCTAGCTTTTCTTTCTACCTAATAGTAAAATTAAAATACCTTATTCATTTATAATTCAGAATTGAATCATCAACAACTAAAATAATCATACATTATCCCTAGTAAACACAAAGTCAATCAAACATATACCCAACAACATAGTAATATCTACAAAAATCATCACTTAACAAATAGTGTAAATAATTTAGTCACAAAAACCATTAGGGACTCCTAAACCATTATTCATTACTTACTACATCATGTACAGGATCAAAAACACATACATACTCAATAAAGTACCCATTCACAAACGAATATGCCTTTAACAATCTAAACAATATACAACCCACAACAAGGATTAATTCTAGAAAGGTAATTATGTACCACAAACAATCATATTTTACAAATAATCAATAGTGAAGACATTTATACCCTTCCTTATTCTTTTGCTCTTAAACACCATTCAAAATCGAATACGAATATCAATTATTCCTCTTGTGGTACTGATAATCTACTTACTTTGACATTCAACAAGACGACTCTGGAAAAAAAAGTAAAAAAAACCCTAATTTTTGGGTTTTCATAATCGTACTTAAGTTCAAAGTAGTCGACTACGACTACACATGTATCTACATCATAAAACTTTCAATCACAGTCATAAACGATCAATCTTAAATACATTCCATATCAGACTACCGTAACATTGAAACTCATCTACGATTACCATTTTCGTTTAAACATTCACATACAATATCGTTTTATTCGTAAAATACAAACTTTAAATCAACAATCATCGACAATTTTGAGTCACTACAGTTCATAATAGATGATATAAAGAAAAAACGAAAAAACCTAATTCTAGGGTTTTAAGAATCGTTAAAATGTAAACATTAAGAAGAACTAAACCCACTACTACACCCGTTTTCCACTCAATCGACATTCAAAAAAGATTAGAAAGCTTACTTCTTCCACTTCGGTTGATGGTCGACGACATTCCTCCACCTTCAACCCTTTACGGACTTCTGAATGCACAAATCTCTTTACGGATGAACAGGAGTAATCGATTGTCGTATAAATGTTTAGCTGTGACAATATTTTGCATTGCAGATACGATCGAATCCTCTCAAAGATAAGAAGTTAGCTGTGATTACTAAAACATAGGAACAGTTTCTTTTAATTGTCAAACTTACCTGATATATTCAAAATGGATGACATCATAAAATTACTTGAATACCCTTTTATATTTTTTTTAATTAAAAAACAATTTAAAATCATTTAATATTATGTTTAAATTAATGATTAATGACAGCCTTAGATTTTAAATATTTAATGTACCAGATTTGTTCTCGCGTCCTCAACATTTTAGGTGTTCTCATTTGATCATTTCTCTCTCTCTCTCTCTCTCTCTCTCTCTATCTTATATATATATATATATAAAATTATTTTTTGATTTTGTATATGTTGGCCGAATTGACTTGGTCTTGTAAGATATTATATAGTCCAAATTAGAAAGGACCACCAACCATGGTTTGGTTGGGTCTATTAGAGTGGCTAGATAGGAAGACATGTTCCAAGTTGCAATTGACATTAACCATGTTGGTTCGAGGAAGGAGCCAATGGGTTGCATCACTACTGATTCATTTTTTTTATCTTAAAATCACGACTCAAGTGGAAACGGAGGCCGCGCACATCATGTTTGAATTATCATGCTACTCTTGTCTTTTACACAATTTCAGCCAAACCACTTTCTCACTAAATTGTAGGTTCTTATGAAAAACGTTCAACTTAATATACTCGTGTGCGAAAATTTATGGGTTAATTAACTTGGTCCATATTTAAATAATTAAGTAACTTGTAAGTTCAAATGTCTGGGAATATGGAGATATGTCGGAAAACTACTCGGTATTAAACGAACTTTAACTTTCAATCCGTATTACGAATTTACACAACAGATTTAGATGGATCTTTTAGTTTAGTTTTTTCGGATTTTTTATTATAGAATTTTTTGCTTACTTTAATCTCGTTTATTAGATAAATAGCGTAATTAAAATTAAAATCAGTAATATATGTCAGCCACAAGAGTTGGCTATTTAGAATGATCCTTGTAAAAGCCTATTTTGTACTTTTGTGAAATTTTTCAATAACGTATTCTTTCAAAGCTAGTATTTTTGCTTTAAGTAAGTTGGGATTAGCCACAAATATATTTTTAACTGTTATTTAATTTATAGACATGTATGTCAAAAAAATATATTTGCGGCTTAAAATTTAAATATCGTATTTATTCTTTCTAATATTGTATATTACCCAAATGTTTTATTTAAATATTTTATAATCAATTTTTATTTTTAATAATCATAATAATTAAAATTAATAAGTAGATTGACCTTATTGTCCTTAAATATCAATACCTTTATTTTTACATATAATAGATTTGACTAAATTGCCCCTAATTACTCTAAAACATTATCCTCTTCTACAAATCTCTTAATATTCACATAACAAATAACCCGTGAATCAAACCTTCAATAATTAAACAAAACTCCATCTCAATAAAGGACAATTTCTTTTTACATTATATTTAATATCTTTCAAGATTCATCGATATCATCATCTTTCAAGATTCATCACCCAATAGCTATGTCTCGAACCCTAGCTCGAGACCTTCTCGAACCATTTCCTGGTCTAAAAGTACTATAAAAAAATATCTTAATGTTGATTCAATTGTACTCAACAAATCCACAATATCCTGGTGCCGCCTAGGATCCACCTCAAATGGTTTACCATAGGGTGCACCACCCTCATGTGCCTCCTTAAATCTGAATACATCTGTAAAAACTAACATGTTTCACTTCTACACGTTCTTGATTTCATGTTCATGAATTCATAGGTGACTTCCACTACAACCCACCCTTTCACCTGTCCCCCGACAGAGTAGACATAACAATTTGGACTCCTGGACGGTGGTAGTGGATGGTGGTTTAGTGGCAATAGTCGGAGTTAAAAGGATTTGTGAAATTGTTGAAGCAATTGGAGTAGCGGTGGCTTGTGTGTAACGCCCGTAGATCCGGGCTAGTCAATTTAGAGACAATGAGCATCAAAAATGAGTTTTTGATGGAAGATTATTTAGAAGGAGTAATCTTAACCAAGTTGTATAATATGTCACAAGGGTTCCGTACATATAAAGAATGCCGAAATCCGAGTTATAACGAAAAAGTTATGGCCCGTCGAAGTTTCGCGACAAAACTGGCACGGCACTACGCGACGTAAATAGTGAATTTATGATAGAGGACTTTTTGGCCTTAGTGATCTAAACAAAAGTTGTAGTATACGTTAAACTGAGAGCGTGCATAAAAAGAACGCCCAAATCTGACTTCGTATGAGGAAGTTATGATTTTTCTAAGATTTGGCCTAACAGTACACGGCCCGAAACTCGAATTTTAGATCGAGCGGTTTTTGGCCAACGCGACCTAAATGAGAATTGAAGATCTCATTAATAGGAACTCAATGACAAAAAGACAGACGAAAACGGATTCCGTATGTAGAAGTTATGAATTTTACGCGGACATTTAAAATTGTAGTCACCTTCTACTATTAAATTTAAGATCGGTCGAGAATTAGCTGACGAAGTCCAAAGGAAAGTTGTATATCTTATTCTTACCTACGCGTGGATATAAATAACGTCAAAAACGGACCTCGTATGCGAAAGTTACGGATTTTAGAAGTCGGAAGTGTGCTGTGCGAAAATGGGTGATGTGGCACAATCTTGGCCATTGCTTTCACCCTATAAATAGAACATCTTCCACCCTCATTTTCTTCACACCTTTCCCATTCTTTCTTCTCTCTGCACTCTCTCTATACATCCCAAAAACTCCCCTAGCGCTAAAAGAAAGCCCCGAAGCGCTCGACGGCTCCGAGAAGAAGAGCTTTCGGCTCGGAAGTCCTGCCCCTGCAGAGCCCGACTTCTAGCCAAACCCCCTCGTAGGTAAGATACGCCTACCTAATTTTTAATATAGCTTTTATTTAGATATAGTAACGTTATTAGGACCTTATAATAATTATTTGAGCTATTATTATGAGTTATATACGTGTCGTTTTAATATCTTTCTAACTACTCGCGGTACGGGGAATCTGGTTTAAAGGGTCGTATAGGGTTGTTGGATTTCAGAAGTGTTATATGCCAAAATGGTCCTGCCCTCCGGTGTTTTATGTCTTGCCCATGTCTGTACATAGTGATTGGAAAATATAGTTTAAACGCTTATATAATAATAATAATGCTAAGACTAATAATTAGTCACGATAAATATTAGACTAAAATTTAGCGATAATAATGCTAGGTTTCGTCGAAGGAAAATAGAATCGTTAAAAGTGAAGCGCTGCCCGAGTTTGGAATCATCACTTTAAAAGTGAATGCATAGTTACTTTCATCTTACACATAGATATGAAGTATTTTATATAAATTACGTGTTATGTGTGCATATTATCTGTATACTTGCTATCTATGTTGGATGAACGATTTTATGCATGTTTTAAATGATTTAAACTATATATGTATTTATATCTACAAAATATGTTGGGTAAAACATGGGTAGATTAATGATGAAAGCTGATATAGAGGAATATTAGCAGTATGGACACAGTGCCCTATAGGTGAACATTGGTAGCAATGGACTTAGTACCCTATACATGAGCATTGGTAGCTGCGCCACAACCTGTAGATGTTTATAATCTACGATGTACTCTAAACATCCTAGCAGTTGCGCTCTAAGGATAGTATCGGCAGCTGCGCCTAATAGATAACATAATAACCATGGCAGTTGCGCCTAAAGGACAATACCGACAGTTGCACCTCATAGAGAATGTCATAATTCTGGCAGCTGCGCCTAAATGATAATATTAGCAGCCGTGCTTGACAACTGTGTCATTGGCAACGATAGACTTTGTGCCTATTCCTTAGGATAATCCTTTGGAATGAATGAACGAGGAATAGCTGATTCTTAGGGTAGATCCTTACGAGTAAAGAAGATAACAGGGATGCGTAATTGAGTTGATTGTTTGATGTTTAAAAATAATAATTACATTATTGTGGGTTGAAAACCCTATGTACTCACTAGATTTCCCAACCTGACCCACTCAAGCTTATTTGTATCATAGGTGTCGATATGAAGCTACTTTACACTGAGAGATTTAAAAGAGATGTAGATCACTAGTGTAAATGAATATAAGTTATGTTTATGCTTATGTTTCTGTATTAACAATGACATCCCAATGTTTTAAAATGAATAAAATACATTTCTTCGGAAATGATTGGATAACGTATTTATCATGTTTTTCTGGGAACAAATTCCACAACATTTTTATGAAAAGGGTACTCTGATTTTTATAAAGCATAAACAAAATCGGTCTTTTCTGGCCGTGAAAATGGGGATGTCACATTGTGTCACACATGTAAAGGCAATAATTGTGATTATGTAAAGAACATAAGAGAATGATGGCTTTATGAGGATGTTCCATACATACACGGCATTTAGCTTCTTCCCATTCCTTCATACTTTGATCATTTTCTTATCGTTATGAATGAAGTAGTCTTGGTGTTGGTGTTGCAACTCCGGGCGAAGTGATACCTGTCGATCCAGTCACGACAGTTTTCACTCATCCGGGCAAATAAAGTTGATATATCTTCTCACCATCACCTTTTTCAGATACTATCCTACCCATAACCCTTAAGTAACCATTTACTACAAGCTTTAACAGTGAACAATTTGTATTGTTTTGAGGTTATCCTCCCAAGATCCAACTCGTATCTTTCACTTCTTCCAAGAACTTGTTCATAGTTGCATCAATCAGATGTTCAAACAACTATTCCTCATCTTCTAATTTTTGTCTCGGTCCAACATTCGTAATCCTTTGAAAACACAATTTTGAAAAATTTCAGGTCATTTAAAATAGTAGCAACAAGTTGGATAATGATACACATAGATTATCCTATTCCCGATG